AGCGTGCGTGGCCGAGGCGGAGGCGGAGGCCGCGACGGGCAGTTTCGCCCACGAGCCCCTGGGGAGCTGCGGAGCGGCTGTCGGTTCGAAGCCCTTAACCAGCCTCGCTCCGAAACGGGCCCTGTCCAGCTCGGCCGTTGTCGGGGTGCACGTGTGTCTTGTCGGGGTGCACGTGTCTGTCGTTGGGATGCGTGTGTCTGTTGTCGGGGTGCGTGCGTCTGTTGTCGGGGTGCGTGTGTCTGTTGTTGGGGTGCGTGCGTCTGTTGGGGTGCACATGTCTGTTGTCGGGGGTGCGTGTGTTGTCGGGTGTGCGTGCATCTGTTGGGGTGCACGTGTCTGTTGGGGTGCGTGCGTCTGTTGGGGGTGCGTGCGTCTGTTGTCGGGGTACGTGCGTCTGTTGGGGTGCACGTGTCTGTTGGGGTGCGTGTGTCTGTTGTCGGGGTGCATGCATCTGTTGGGGTGCATGTGTCTGTTGGGGTGCGTGCGTCTGTTGGGGGTGCGTGCGTCTGTTGTCGGGGTACGTGCGTCTGTTGGGGTGCACGTGTCTGTTGGGGTGCGTGCGTCTGTTGTCGGGGTGTGTGCGTCTGTTGGGGTACACATGTCAGTTGGGGTGCACTGCGTCTGTTTTCGGGGTGCGCGTCGTCACACAGGTTGAGTGACGGGAGGCAGCCCCGTGCCTGGGGTCCGGCTCTGCCCTCGCTCGTGGCCGCCGGTCCTGACAAGTTAGAAAACGACCCCACGTTTGAAACACGCAGGCTCACGGGGCCGTGAACCCTCAGCTCCTCCCCGACGGCAGTGAGCGCGTCTCTCCGGGCCTGGCGGGGGCGGCGGGGACCAGGGAGGGGGCCCGGGGCTCTGTGCCACCCCGGGGCACATCTTCCCCAGGACGGTGGGGCCACAGCTGCTGAGCCATCCTCGTGGCTCTCTCTTAAAGTTCTGTCTCCTCCACAAACACTTGGAAGGACATTCCTGGTCGCGTACGCAGGCGAGGGTGTCTCGGGGGCCTGGAGCATGGGGAAGGGTCCCAGGAGCTTCGTGCACCAAGCAGGGTGGGCGGAGGCGGAGCCACCTCCTCGCTGAGGCCGCAGTCACCCGAGCAGCTCTGCGGTGGCGGCCGATGCCCTGCGGAGAGCCCTGCACACCCACGTTTCTGTGCGGCTCGGGGCCTGAGGGACCCAGCAGGACGGTCCGGGGCACCAGCCATGTGGGCAGAGCATGAAAGTCAGGGCGTCAGTTCTGCGGGGGGCAAGGCAGAGAGCGAGGCGTGCGCGTGGGGGTCGGGGGCTCCACGCGGTCCTCGGAGGAGTGCGGAAGAAACCCCGGTAGGGTCTGAGGGGGCACCGAGCCGCTGCCCGGGATGCAGGACGCAGGTGGCTGTGGGGGTGAGCGAGGCAGAGCTGCAGAGTGGACACCTGGGGGAGGTGGCACGGGGGACCTGAGTGGCACCCCCTGCGTCCGTTTCCCCTGCAGGGGGAGGGCACAGGTGGACGTGCCAGGCGGGGGGCTGCTCGCGCCCCTCCTTGGTCCACTGTAGGGGCCGCCGCAGAGGCCAGCCCCATGCGGAGGCCAAGGACACATGCCCCCTGCCTGGGCCGGGCCCCTGGCCTCACAGCGGTGGATACCCCAGGCCCCCCAGCCTGGCAGGGGACCCAGCGGGAGGAGAAGTGGAAGCCTGTGGCATGTAGGGAGATGCTAAGGGCCCCTGGATTGCCGTGGGTGGCCTCACTGCCACCCCAGGAGCTCCCGCAGGTGGGGTGAGGGTCCCTGCAGAGCCCGAGGCAGGGTGCTGGCCGGGGGGTGAGGGGAGGGGTGCTCTCAGACCTCCCTTCCCAGCCAGGGCCCTCGCCCAGCTTCGCCTGGCGCCTCGCGGGCTCCCAGCCGTGTCCAGGCCGGCGGCACCACCGGGCGGTCCCAGGGCACTGTGCCGGTCTTGGGAGCAGGCGGGGCTTCCTCCCCTGCGTGAACATCCACGGTCCCCGCTGTAAAGTGCTCGGTGCTCAGTTTGGGGGCCAGTTCGCGGGGTCAACGCCTTTTGCGGGAAGGCCTCCTGCTCTGCCCCGCCTGTGGCTCCGTGACGTGGGAGGAGGTGACTTGACCGTGGGGTCCGCGCCGGGGTCCCCAGGCCTCCTGCTCCTCAGTGGCCCAGCCTGGCCCAGCCAGTGCTCCCCATGGAAGTGGCCAGACGCACAGGCTGCCTCCCTGGGTGACACTGGGCTCTGCTTTGAGGAGAAGTGACATCGGGCAGCCGGCCCGGTCTCTGGACCGCAGAGAACACGGCTGAAGTCCACGTCTGGAGTCACGTGGGTGGGAGGAAGATGCAATACAGCGACGGAAACGTGATATTTAGCAAACAATTCGCAACTGTCCCAGACCGCTTTTGACACTGCGCGTTGTCCTGGATGTCGGGGACTCAGGGCAGTCCGGGCCGGGCCCCGACGGGCCCAGGCGGCAGAGGGGCTCG